AAAAAAATAAACATATTTTTACAAAATTGTGGAAATAAAATTGTAAAAATAATAATAAAAAGCAGAAATTAACACTTTCAGCAAGAGCCGCATTTGCCCACAACTGCTATATATCATCAAGTACTCCACGAACACTCAAAGCTGGCACAGTCACACAGGCTAGTTAAATGCAATAGTCTTAGCGAAGTGACGCAGAGGACTGTATCATGCATCGAATTAAAGTTACAACCGGCGTACCGTTAACAGAAAATAAACAAAAAAATCTTAGAATAAGGCCTTATTCTAAGATTTTTGAGTAAGGAGTTATTCTAAGATTTCTTCACATATAAGCTCACTTATTTGTGAAGAAATCTTAGACAACATTTTTCAAATTGTTCCTTCATAAATTATTTTGATATCGTATAAATGAGTTACCTTCAATCGATTCAGTTGGCTTTTGAACTCCGCAATGAGATTCATTAATAGTTCTTCTTCTTCTTTCAAATATTTAAGTTCATTTGCTACAGACGCTTTCTCATTAAATTTATGTTCCATTTTTGTATGGAAATCTATAATAAAAAACAACAAAGAATCTATAATTACACATTTAATAACTTTGATTTATAAAATACTAATCTGGTGTTACCTAGTTAACTATCTCTTCACAAATTTCCATCTTTCATACAAAACATCCGCTTCTTTCTTCCTAATCGTAATCTTGACGACGAATTGGGTAACTAGTGCCATCTGATGACAATAAAATTTAATTTTTATTCTTTTTTTACGCAAATAATACGCAATTATTGTTCACTAATTTCGGATATAGCGTATATATATATTAATGTAACGTTAATATTAATATAAGTCATTTTAAAATAAAACAAAAATTAATTCTATATATAGTATTGTAAATCAGAGAATATTTGAAATTGACTTCCAGAGGGCGCGCGTGTATTAAGAAGTATAAGAATTGTGGTATTATATCAAAATTTAGGTGACGGTGCTCGGAACAAATTTACTCTGATACGATTTACTGTTAGAAGTTTTAAAATTCCTATTGTAAATTCCTTGTTTTAAGAAAGCGTAAGCTTATTGGAATAAGAAATACAAAAGTTGTCGGCTTTATTCTTACCGGCTTTAACTCACTCGGTCTTCTCTTGCTTTTTTTTGTAAAAGATTTGTCTCTAGAATATGGCATTATTAATTACCAAGTTCAAATGAAATCGGAATAGACGTCATTTATCTAAATTTTGTTTGTTTATTAGCGAGGTTGCGGCCGAAGTTTTCATTTCTGAAACGCCAAACGTCGAGCGCCACTTACAAGATAGCGGTGCTCGACGTTCGACGTTCACGTTTTAGAGGTGAAAACTTCGGCCGCAACCTCGCTATTACTTTATAATACATGATTTACCTTTCTTGACCATCTTTATGTTTTATCTAAAATGTGCATTTGAGGATTCCATCATTGCTCACGTTATAGTAATAGAATGTTTAAAATTGCAAACAAAATATAAACGTTCTCTTGTAATATAGTAAATAAAAATGTAATCTACGATGTGGCTTTTTGCATTTTTAGCTCTTTCCGTTTTTGGTCATTAAGAGAGCTTTCCTTTCATACCCATCGTGGGATTGGCCAGGCCCGTAATGGGAACGGTCAAGTGATGAGAAACTAACTCCCCATAAAAAAATATCTGGAAGCGGAATCCCGAGTTTGATTTCGACTCCCAGAGCGGTAAGTTAATTCCTTAACAGTGCCCTTTTGCATCGAATGATTCGATTTTATAATTTTAATTCTGCAATAATTCTAATTTTTACAGATTTTTTATGGTCGAAAGCAGTGGCGTAGCGTAGTGGGGGCGGCAAAATTACCTTTTAGGGGAGGCAAAATTTCATAATAAATAATAATAATATGTTGTAAAAATTTGAACCATTCTAATCTAAATTTGCGTCGCGCCTACGTTAGTGCCATCGTCCGGACAGTCCGGGAATCGACTCACCGTCCGTGTGAACTACTAATTTCGTCCGACGATATCCTGCGCGACCTGTTGACCTCCCTTTTTTTAGCTTGTATGATTCATTCGTATTCATGTACGCCTCCAATATCCAATAGAGCTATTTTAAACAGGTCGCTGCACTAGCACGGAATTTTTTATTGCTTGTTCTGTGACAAAACTGAAATCTAGTCTTTTAAATTGAGATACCTAAATAAGGGGGTACGAAATTTTCCTCCGTCCCTGGCGACTGACACCCACGCTACGCCACTGGTCAAATGAGCAATGAGTACTTTTATTGAAAATCTGTCATTAGCACTACCACCATTATACTCATATCTTAACGTTGTTCAGCTAATGTCTTATTTTGTACCTACTTAAGCTTTTAATTTGCATTAATTCTTTTATTAATTGTTTGTGCATAAAATTGTTTTTCGTTATTCTATTGTTATTATTTAAAACTTTTGTACCTCAAATTCTTACGCATCCAAGCCCTGACATAGTGGACCTAATGGAAAATCCGCGACTTTTCGTATTAACATACTGCTAACACCAACAAACTACACACAATTATATATAGATGTATATTTGTATATGTGTGCAATATATCGGTATTAAGTTACGTTATTGTGTGTTGTAATGTATTATCTTCTTAGCATATACTGTATTTTTAAAAACCGTATAATTCACATGCAATTTTAAAAATAAAATACTCTATTAATCTAAAAATTTTTTGTTTAATGTAATTTAAAATGTTTTGATTTTAATTCCATGATCGAGCACGAAAAATTTAAGCTATTATACTCAAAGAGAACAACGCTAATAAAATTTCTATGCAGTTATTCTGCACGTTTTGAATGAAATTTTTATTTCGAATAAAATAATAAATTATTGCGAATATTATTATTATTAGACAATGATTAAACTGTCTGCGAGATTTCGTTATCTATTATATTTTTATAAAGATCTTTCTTCTAAATATTTTTAATACGTCAACAGATAAAGAAATCCGTAATCTAAACAGAACAAACAAAAAAGTATTTCCTTTGTGGCAATCATCGACGACAAAGAAACTTAATTGAAGATGACTCGACTAAAAAAGTGTGACGTCATGCAATAGGGTTTACTCCGTTTCTTCGGGAAAAATCAATAAAAGATGTATCGATCGAAGCAGAAAAGTTGAGAAAGTTTTGCTCTTACACATTCGATTTACTCTAAAAGTATTTTAGTGCCGATAGAAAACACGTCAATTTTTCTTTCAAAAATAAAATAAACGTTCGACGACAATTTCGACCATATCAATTTGTTAAATTTTTAAAAATCTTTTGTAAAGTAAATTGTCGTAAATCAATTTTTTTCCCAATTTTATACAGGCTTAATCCATATATTCATTCTCTAGTTTAAACAGTGGTTATAGTAAAAGAAGAAAGTGGAAGGAAAAAAGATCCAATTGCAACGATTATTCCTTTTGATTCTTTCCAATAATCCTAAAAGTAAATTCGTAACTCTATTTGAAATAAGTCTAATATTTATTCTAAAAATAATATTAGACAAACTCCAAATATAGTTACAAATTTGCTTTAGGGATTAGTCTTCTTAAATTGTAGTGAAATTTTCTAGAACTCCGAGAACAATGGTATTGATTCAAGAATTTTTATATATCATATATATTGGATGAAGCAAATTTTACATTCTTTTATCTAATATAAATGCAGAGAATAATTTAAAAATTCTGCCAATATTTTAAATGGTTTGGCAGTATTTTTCTATCTATTTTTATCTATCATTTTAAAATTTGCTTCGTATGAATCATTTTTAAAATTCATATTTGAAATTCATAAAAAAAACGGAGATTTTTGACCGAGTTTCCTCAAATATGAATTGAGAATACTCAGATATGCCATGTGATTGACAATAAATGATACTAAATAATTTATCGTAAAACAGGCTACACTATTTTATTACAACATATTTTACAGAATACACAAAATATAGAATAATTTTAAATATAAAGTCTATTTTAAAAATATTTCAAGTGCAAACTTGAAGCCCACAACAGGGAAAATTGCTAATGTCCCTTTCTAGTAGTGTATAATTCTGAAAATCAATACATTTCATTATTCAAATTTTGATACTAAAATCGTTGTCATTTATTAAACCTTCCAATTATTATAATGGATACAATAGTTACCTTTAATCATACAGACAGCCTAAACAGTAATCAAATTCGTGTTTGACTACTTTTTACGCTATCTGCGTGATTAAAGGCCTAAGTGTTGTATCCATTTTAATTGAAAGACAAGTTTAATAGATGACAAGAATTTCTAGAACCAAAATTTGATCATTTAAATGTATTGATTTTCAAAACTATATAAAACGGAAAAAATAATTGAAAAAATATGTGACACTGTAAATCGAAATCACAGTGGAACGTTAGGTTGGTTAATCGTAGTGTAGGGGAGAGTGATAGGATAATACGTTATTTTTTCTTAATTTATAATGAAGAAATTTTAATAAATATAAATATTAAATAGAAGATAAAGAAGATAATTTCTTTCACAGTTTAAAGACTGAAAAATGAACCAATCCAAGGACTAACTCTAATTACATCTACTATACGTGCCAAATGATTTTTTCAAACGTGCCACTTTGGGCACGCTTTCCATCCGGCCGCCTTTATATATAAGTAAAATATATAATGCCATTACAACTTCGAAAAATTTAAGAATTTATTAATTATATTTTAAGTAGTATTCATTAATCATGATTTGAAAAATTCCGTAATTAATTAGGAATTAAATCGATAAAATTAAATATACTAATTAAACAAATATGCTTGAAGGAGAAGTCTTTATAAATAAGACAATACTTATTAAAATAATAAATTTTATAATACTTAGTAAAGTTTTAGATAAGTTTATAGAACATAATTAATTTACTAAATTTTTCTATACTGAATGAAGAATGAAATCATGAAGTGTAATAATTACTAATTAGTTTTTATTATATAATAAATGATGTAGAAAATTAATTAATTGTGTTCAATCATTATCAGATTTTTTAAATAAAAACAGATAATTTATTCATTATTATATTATCTTAAAGTATGAAAAAGCATATATTGTAAGGATTTGTTTTTTTAGAAATAAGATAAAAAACTATTCATAAATAAATAAGTAAACTATTCATACAAATATAATTACAATATTATAAAATAAGTATAAATTTAAATTTTTAAAATAATCGTTTTTAAAAGTAATGTATTGATATTAATTCTAATTACTGTACAGTACTTTAATATGTAATTTCTAGTGTTAACTTATCGTTTTATCTTTATTATAAAGGTTTTATGGGGTGTTGGAAAAAGCACTAATTTATACTATAATCTATTACACAAATAACTGATGTTATTTGTGTAATAGTAAATAACATGTAATATATATCTTTAATTATCTTTAATATTATCTAAAACAATGATTAATTTTATGGTGTTGGGGATTGTACCCTACTCAGCTTATACATCGGTGCCTAATGCTATGCCGGGTCGAGGTATAACTACAGTACAAGCAATTATTTTGTTTGCTTGCTGTTCATATATGTATTTGGTATTTGTATTTAAGATTTCTCCACAGGCTCTATGTTGTGAGCGAGTTCTGAAGATCGTACACACATGAAAAGTTTTAGGAGTAATCGCTTTTTTAAGGGAAGAATTTAAAAATTAAATTAGATTGAAATATAGTGGGT